TGGGGCAGGGTCTCAGGGAATCAACAGGGCAGAGCAAGCAGCTATGGCTGATCCTCAGCCCTGCCCTAAGAGGCCCCAAGTCTCAGTGTCCCTCCATACTTGCTGCAAGCACCTCTGAGGGAAAGCTGCCCTCTAGTTCCGAGTTCTGCCTGCTGCCAGACAGTCCAGTTTCTCCCCGTATGAGTCCTGGGTCCCCAGAGACTTCCCGGAACTGGAGTTCAGAGCAGTTGGGAGCTTGTGACTCCCTCCCGATTCAAAAAGACAGCTGTGTCCTCAGGTGCCAGCCCCTTTCTGTGCGTGCTCGAGCCTCTGTACCTTTGCACTTTACTTCCGCAGCTCCTCTGAGTCTCAGTGTGCTTTTCTCTTTCCTTCTAGTTATAGAATTTCCACTCAGCCAGCCTTCCTGTAGTTCTGGATGATGTTCATTTTGTCTTTTTGTTGTATTTTTGAAGTTGTTGTGGGAGGCAGCAATTTCCAGTGTTTACCTATGCCGCCATCTTGGTTTCTCGAGAATTCTTTACATATTTAGATAGTAGTACTTTGTGACTTTGTGGTTTGCAAATATTTCCTCTCAGCCTGTAGACTGTCCTTTCATCCTTTCTAATCTTGGTTTCCATGATTTCATTCTTTCATGTCCTCCCTCCCCCAACCCATTTACTCACTTTCCCCATCATCACTGACCTCTACTTGAAAGTTCCTACTTCTTTAATACTGCAATCATTTTCAATATATGCTTCTTAAAGAGTTTTCCACATAATTCTTTAATGAGCCCACATTTTCTCATTGGAAGATATTTTTAAAAATAAAACCTGCTCTTTAAAAAGCAAATATGGTATCACTCAGGGGTACAAGCTTGGTTTTGAGCACTAAGGCACATTCAGCTTTTCAAGAAGACTGAGTTAAAGTGAACAAAATGGATGTGCAATGTAGGTTGTCATGTGTTTCTCTAAGAAAATTACCTGACTCTATAGATGCACCTCAAATAATTGGTACTGTCTGGGATAGCTCTTCCTGGTGGTCTCATTGTTTGCATATGTCACCCTTGTCTGGGTGAATCTAGTTTTCTTTGACACACTCATGGAATCCATTGCTTCCTGAAATAAGCAGTCCCCTAAAAGGCTAAGCAGGCTATTGAACAAAAATTAGGTTTGAGGTTCCAAAGAAAATTTAGAAGTGAAAGCAAACCTGTTGACAGAAAATGACTCAGAAATCAGGCATCTTTTTTTTTCTTTTCTTTACAGCCAATCTGAAAGTTCAGAAGACAGTTTGGAATGCTTGATAGATGACGAAATGGACTTTGAAATGGTAACCAGATTATATTTCTTGATTTAAATATTGTGTTGGGTGATATATTCATTTCTTCTTTTGAAATTAAAATTTTCTGTTCCAAATATTCCATAACTTTCCAGAAGAAAAATATGATTTTGATACTGCTCCTCAGTTGTATATATAGTTCATCTTTGTCATGAGACATTTTATGAAAAAAAAATGCTAAAGTAGGTAATAATTTGGGAGACATATCACCTATAGTTTTCCTATAAAAAATAGCCACTTCCTGGATGCTTATCATTTCACTGGGGCTTGAGATATATTGAGGAGCTGAACTGTAAGATAAATTGACCTTCAACAAAATAGCCCTTCATGTAAAATATATTTTTATTGATTTCAGAGAGGAAGGGAGAGGGAGATAGAAACATTGATGATGAGAGAGAATCACTGATCAGCTGCCTCCTGTGCACCCCTCTACTGGAGATCAAGCCCGCATCTCAGCCATTTGTCCTTGACTGGAATCAAACCCGGGACCCTTCAGTTCACAGGCCGACACTCTATCCACTGAGCCAAACCAGCCAGGGCCAAAAACACCATCTATTATTATATAAAACACACCTTACCCAAGGCATTTTTTTTTTCGTGGCGGTAAAAAAAACACATAAAATTTACCATCGTAACTATTTTTAAGTGTATGGTAGTGTTAACTATATGCACACGATTGTGCAATAGATCCCTATAACTTTTCATATTGCAAAACTGAAACTCCATACTCATTGAACAACTCGTCTAACCCTCTCCCTCTAGCTCCTGGCTACCACTGTTGTAAGAGTTTTATTACTTTAGATAACTCATAAAAGTGGAATCATGCAGTATTTGTCCTTTTGTGACTGGTTTCACTTAGCATATCTTCCATGTTCATCCATGTTGTAGCATGCGACAGGATTTCCTTCTTATTATGGTTAACATTCCATTGTAGGGATATACCACATTTTCTTTATCCATTCATTCATTGATAGCCATTTCGTTTGTTTTTCACCCCCTGGCTATAGGAAAATATGATTAATACGGGTGTATAAAAATTAAATTTACTAAAGATAATGCATACTTACACGTAAAATTCTGGGAAATGTAAAATAATTAAAATTGGGGGAGAAAACGACCTTCATGTAGCCCCCTATCTTTATCTTCCTTCTGTGTCTTCTCCCTTGCCTTTCCCTAGACCCCTTTCCCCTTTTCCTGCCCTCCCTCTTCTGCTTCGTCCTTACTTCTTTTTCCTCACCCTCTGCTTCCACTTTCCCAACGCCTTTCCTCTCCCCTACCACCTCCAAAGCCCCTTCCCGAGGCCAGCTCTCCTGTGGAAAGGCTCCTCTGCCATCTCCACCCACGTCTCCCTCACAGTCAGCCTGGTATTCCAGAATGCATTTTTCTAGGTGAGTCACGTGTACCTCGAAGGCATGGTGTTAAGTGAATTACATTCTTCATTATTGATTCATTAGGAGCCAGAGCTGTATTTCAAAGAGCCAGAAGAGCTACTTCAGGTCCTCACGGAGCTGGAGGAACAGAACCTGACCTTGGTACAGTATTCCCAAGATGTAGATGAAAACCTCGAAGAAGTGAATAAAAGAGAAAAATTTTTACAGGATAAGATGTAAGTCATTGAAAACAAGTAGATTTATCCTATTACGCGAATTCTAACCAGAGACAGAGTCCAACTTGTTCACGAGTGGTCCTTCCTGGTGGTCTCTCTGGATTTAAGGTGAAATGTTTATGAACGATATTTACATTGTCCTGTATGAAGAGCTGAAGTTATATGTACACAGAATAGACTGGCTTTAGTTTCATTTTAGTCCCTACTTCCTTTCACATGTCAAAATATTTTCCTAACTAGCAATAATAAACTATTCAAAAGAACGGAAGGGTCACTTACTGCCTTAGTTTTTGTTCACGCCCGTTTTTTGCCCTATCATCTGGCTAATCACACCATGCTTTGGAATTAGTGCTAACAAATGCATTTTCCTTGGCTGTGACTCTCCTCAGCAAAACAGCTTTTTTTGGTGACTTAAATATTGTATCATTTTGTAATGTGATATCAACATATCAGGGCTGTGATAAAAGGGACTTCTGTCAGGGGAAGGAGGCTGATTTGATGACTCACAACACTCCTTCCTATTGTAAAATTTTATATTATTACCATTTTGGTCAACAGCTCCGAGTCGCAGAGAACAGATCTTTGTATCTACCTATTCTAAAACTGTGTAGAAGCTTTTTCAGAACAGTTGTCTGGGCCAGAAGGTGGCAATCTTCTTAAACATTCAACTTCATTGAACTTTGGGACAGATTAACTTGTTCAGAAGTTATGAACCTAAAAATCATACTCTCACAGCCACCTGTTACCACTCATGTATCCTTTTAATCCATGTCTCCTCTCTCCCAGTCCTTACAGGTCTGGTGCCCCTATCTCCAACAATATGATTTTGAGGGACGGGTGGGTATGGTTGGGCAGGAAAAGGGGACCCATGTCCGAACCCATCTCCAGATCTCTATCGGAATGTCTAGGTGAGGGAATCAGGGGTCTCTATTTTGAACCCTAGTTTGGGAACACAGACAACAAGATCTCACCACAACTTGAGTTCCCGACACCTCGGCTTTGCTGCTCTCTACTGGGGGAGTCAGGGAAGTAGGAGAGGGGAAGAAAATGCTTCCGGACGGTGGTGCAAAACAGCCCCTGTGCATTCTTCTCATTTCAACCTGAGAAGTTGCATGTATGTTGGCAATGTCTTTACATATAATCTCGGGTTTGGCTTGCTGGACATCGGCTGCTAACACATGATCTGGAAGAGTGTCGATGCTCCTGGGTGATGGTTTATTGCATCAAACCACACATTACAGACAAGCCTCTTTCTTTTGTCATAGAAATTCAAACATCGAGTTCCTTTTGGAGCAGAAGGAAATACTTAGAGATAACTGTGTGAGAGAAGAGGAAAAAGCAGCAGAGCTGGAGTTAAGGTCCAGGCTATTTAGTTTTGGAGAATTTGATTCAGATTCCCAGGTAAGCATTCTTTGCCTATAGCAATCTTATTTTGGCTCATGACAAGAATTTGCATTTACCTCAGTCCTAAGCACCGGAATGGGAGAATGAACAGTAAACCACAAGCCTCAGGTTGATGACACAGGCAGAAAACCAGCTTGGACTAATCTTGCCAGTACGTAACAGTCCACTTACATAGTAAGACACAAAGCATTCAAATTGGCATTGGGGTTCTCTTAAAATGTTGCTCTAATTATGACCAAGTATGATGTTGAGATTTTCCCCCCATAAAAACATTTCTTTTAGGCAGAGTGTATACTAGTACATATGAAGTAGCTCACTGCCTGTGATCATTTTGGTAGAAATTTAAGGAGTAAATAATTGACAGAGGAGGACTGAATCAACACAATGGAATATCTGACCAACTCTGAGCTTATGATAAATTTTGGCCCCCTGGGGCTTGTGTAGTTAGTCATTATGGGAGGACCTGTAACACACGCTAATGTACTCACTTATTTACATGTTAGTCTCTCCCAGCTGGATGCAAACCCCTCGAGGGCAGGGATTTCTTACCCTTCTTCGCTAAGTTTAGTGTCCCTACAGGAGGTGCTCAATAAATGTTTGTTGAATGAATGATTAGGTTAGTTTCTAGACCCATAACTCCAACTAGCATAGGTTTTCTTGTAAAAATCATAAGATAAAAATTCATGCTGATATGTGAGGTGAATATCACATTTATGGTTATGAACTTGATTTTCAAGCAGAAGTAGATTTGGGGGAACTGTATCAGTCGATGATTGTCCTTCCCTACCCGTTGGTAGGCAGGGTTACCAAAAGCACCCCTTCCCCCCAACACACACTTCCTAGGGTGGTACAGCACCCTGAGTGAGGAGGGGATATGGTCGGGTCGCACACTGTTAGAACAAGAAGTGTGGTGCTAGCTACCTTTTAGTTTTTCAATGCTGGTTTTTAAACCATTTTTTAAAAAATTGTGATAAAATATACATAACATAAAATTTACCATTTATCCATTTTAAGTGTTACAATTCAGTGGCATTAAATATATTCACAATATTGTGTAACCTTCACCACTATTTATAGAATTTTCCATCATCCCAAATAGAAACTCTGTATCCACTAAACAATGATAGTATTTCCCCATTCCTCTATCTTCCAAGTCTACTTTCTTCCTCTATAAATTCGCCTACTTTAGGTACCACATATAAACAAAATCATACAATAGCTGTCCTTTTATGCCTGGCTTATTTCACTTAGCATGTTTTCAAGGTTCATCCATGTTGTAGTGTGTATCAGAATTCCTTTGATGACTGAAAAATATTCTGTTGTATTTATTTACCACGTTATTTATCCATTCATCTGTTGATGGATACTTGGGTTGTTTCCACCCTTCAATTTTGTTTAAATAATTCTGAAGCCGATTGACATGAAAAATGTCAGATAATGTGATAGTGCCCCTCCTTCCCACCAAGCCCCTTTCATCCAAGTTTAGGGCAGCTATAAAAAATGTAGCATTTTCAGTACTCTTAAACTTTGAGGCAACCTTGTACAGCTTATCTGAAAATTACTTTTAAAAGACTGAGATTGCGGTCACAGGCGTAATTTTGGCATTCATGTATTACCCTCTCTGGGAAAAAGCACTCTCTCTTAGGGATGTAGAATGCTGGGGTGGAAAGGGGGAAGAGAGCAAACAAATTGTCAGGGGAAAGTATTATTTTCTTAGAATTTTCTTGCTTTCCCATCCCCATTCTTTCAGATCTCAACACTTGCAAAATATAATCCTTTATGAGTAAATAAACAATTGCACCTAATTTTGAAATTCACAAAATTATCAGTTACTTTGGCGCTATAGTCAATTATGATCTATGAAATCAATTTTATTCTTTCAAAACTTCCACACTCCTAACTGTACTTAACCCCCTAAAAAACACTTTTCATTAATTCAGTATATTACTTAGGTAGTAAAATTTTAAATTCAGGCATAGATTTAATGTAATATTCAAATGTGCACAAATCATAAGTGTACCTCTCAAAGTAAGCACAGCCCCGTACCACTCCCTAGATCAGGGAAGACACCATGATCAGCACTCCCAGAAGCCTCTTGCCATCCCTTGAAGGTGACCACTATCCTCACTTCTCCCTCACTTCCGTGCTTTTGAAGGTGACCACCGAGCTTGAGATAGATGGAACCGTATAACATGCCTGGCTTGCCTGGCTTCTTTCTCTCAACATTATGTTTGAGATTCATCCATTTTGTGTAGCAGCTGTTTGCTCACTTTCATTGGACATGAAATGGAATGCAAGCTATTCCATCATTTAATTTGCAGAATGTAGTCACCTCTGGTTTAATTTTCCTTTCAACAGGGCACTGATCCAGTTCAATTGGGAGTTGTTTACATTAAGCACACAGTAGAATGTGAAATGGATAAGGCTTACAGAATCCTTGAGTTGGAAAGGAACTTTAAATGGCATCTAGACATCTCCCCATTCCTATCCAATTTTGATAACAATGATTCCTTCTATCTATTGCTCTGGTCGGATCACTTCCCATTCTGTTGGAAGGCATCCAATGTTCTTATCCTGGGAGTCTTCGACCATCCTGCCCCACTGAACCTCAGGAAGCAGGCACACCTCCCCCTGCAGCCCCTCCTCCTCCGAGCTCTGGGCTGGGCCTGCCACCTTGTGGCAGCTCCAGGGATTGGACTGACATTTGGTTTCTCTGTCAAGAGTAGGCCTGCATCTTTTTTTTATTATTATTATTCAACATTTATATTTGCATCAGAACTTAATAATCCCATAAATAAATAGAGCTCTCAATTATTTTTTTAAAAAAATCAAAGGAGCCCTGACCGGTTTGGCTCAGTGGATAGAGCGTCGGCCTGCAGACGAAGGGTCCCGGGTTCGATTCTGGTCAAGGGCATGTACTTTGGTTGCGAGCACATCCCCAGTGTGGGGTGTGCAGGAGGCAGCTGATCGATGTTTCTAACTCTCTATCCCTCTCCCTTCCTCTCTGTAAAAAATCAATAAAATATTTTTTTAAAAAAATCAAAGGATAACGTATGTATTTAGACATATTAGCAGCGTAAAGATGTATACTTCAACGCACTTATTGGGAAAACGTCTGAAAATATTACTACACTGAAGTAATCCGCAGGAATCTGACATATAAGTTCTCTAGAATACCAACAGTTCGGTTCAGGAAATTCCAAAAAAGGAAAAGGGGTCAAATAGGAAATAGCCTCAAATTAATTGACGAAGTTCAGTGCTTAATCCAACTTGATTTTTCTCTCCATTGCAATAAAAAACGACGACAAAACAAACCAACGGAGTCTCAGGGATAGGTGGGTGAGTCACTTAGATGAAAGTTCATCTACTGGAATAAATGGAGAGGCCGCCTGGGCAGGTGACTCCGGGGAGTTGGTGGTAGAGCTGACTTTCGCTTGCGAGTTACAGGAAGAGCCAGTACTGCTGCTGTTTCCATCCAGGGCATCAGAAGATACACACACACCAGGATCTGACAGCTGTGCGACGTCAGAAGACAGCATGTTGGTGATGCCCTGGAAAAATCTCTTTGGCTGATAATCAGTCTCCATTTCACATTTTCTTTTCAATGGTCCAAGAACACTTGGTCTAATGCCATTAATGGGACTCTGGCTTCTTCGAGTAGCAAATCGGGTCGTTGGGCTGGGAATCGGACTTGGAGGCAATCCATGGCTACTCACAAAACTTTGCAAGGATGGTGAAATGCACTGCTTCCCGATTCCCCGGGTGGGGGCAGATGGTGCTTGGTGACACCGGAATGCAACCGATGCGCTTCGGGGAGGCGGGTTTCTCCACATCGTTGTCACTCAGGCTGAAACTTTCCTCCCAGGAGTGGCTGATCTGCATGGCGTTCTGCACCTCGCGCTCGTGGACGGTCTCTCGGTTGATCAAGTCCATGCCCTCCTCCTGTTGGATCTGGTGCAATCGGCGGCTGTGCCTGCGGACCGGGGAGGCTGGGAGCAGCAGGCCAGGGCGGTTCGGGAACGTGGTGCTGTTGGGCCTGGCGCTCGGCGCCTCGGCCTGGAACACCGGCCAAGTGTCACTGAGGCAGTGGACCGGAGGGGC